GCGATCTGCAAGCTTCCGGATCTGCTCGAAATCGCCATTCCTTAGGCTTTCAATCAAAAACTCCTGAATAGCCTCCTCAACTTGATCAAGTGTCTCTAACCGGCGTCCATGTAGGAATTGTCACATTGAGGGGAAAAGAGCATAATCGGACGGCGCAGCATATGGACTGCAGACTGGGTGCGGCAAGACCTGAAGTCCCTCCAGTTTATCAAACTTTTCCTTGGTTTTCTTTGCGTATGAGGTTTGACATTATCTCACTGGAACAGCGCGTGCTTTCGACGTATCAATGTGGGATACTCTTACTGAATCGTAGACTCGCTCCACCTACTTTCTTATGGAAAAATTCCAGAAATATTCCCACGATTTTGCAACAACCGATACCGTGTGAAACAAATATAAGTTCAGAATCTTTCGCGGGTGCTAAGGAACATTTTCCTCAGCCCAGTCAGCCCAGTAACTATGTAGCCAAGTACGCTGAGTGATAGGGAACACTCTAAATCTAAGGCAGGAGTTGAACCTACGTTTTTCCATATCAAAGGCGCGTGCTACTAATTGCACCACCGAGGTCACCGCTTTGCTACCAACTCTTTAGTGTTTTTCTGTCCTGTTCATCGAACTGATTCATTGATGTTCGTAATCGCTATGTCATTTTCATCAATATTTACTTCTTTTCATTTTCTCAACTATGAGACGGCAAGAAATCGATTTCGTTTTTGTGTACTCAATAATCTTATCTGTTTACGTTTTCCCTTTAGCTTCAATTTGATCGATATTACAATTTTTCCTGCCTCATAAATCATTGCTACACCGCACTTGACATGTGATACCACCTTTTCCCGTCGAATTTGGACAAGTTCCAAGTTGTACAAGTGATAGTTTACGCATTACAATTGTTTTGTTCCTCTTAAATTATCACTTGGGAAAATTGCAATCTATCCTTCCTGTTCTGCCCAAGTTTCAAAGCGTTATTCTGGTCATCAACGTAAGATATTTACTGTGATACGACTTATTTTTTGTTTATTACGACATTCGTAGAACAATGAGAACGTAAAGTGACTGTGAAGGTCGCTATTATTTGACCATGCATGACGTTCCAGTAATGGGTGTTTGTTTTCCTTACGAAACAAGCAATGAAGAAAACAAGTTGAATGGTGTTCACTTAATGACTAGAAGACGTCACACACAAACACACACACACACAACAACGAGATAGATAACCAGCCCGAATAACCATTTAGTATGGAAACTGGTTAGAACAACTAGACCTCGTAGCCATATAAGCCACTATCGAGCTTCTCCCAGGGCCACACACTTGTTTCGTTGCTGGTGATGGTGATGAAGACGATGATGCTGTTGACAGCACAGATTCACCAATGGATGAAAAGAATCAAGTGATTTTTGGTCGACTCAAATTTCACTAATAGGCTTCCTATCCGTAGTCAATTTAGTCTGGAATACACAACTGAGACATCCAGGAAAACACCGAATGTATTAGAACGAATTTGAATAGTATTACGGGTTTTATCATGAACACAATATTTTTCAACGTTATACTGGCAATTTTATTTATCTATTTGACATTTGGCAAACAGAATTTATGGAGGGGGCAGCGCATAATTAGGGAAAAATAACGGGTTCTCTTTGAACTATTGTAAGTCGACATCCATTCAATACACGAGTTCTAGGTGTGGGTATTTTCTCAGTTGATACTTTCCGTAACTTATTTTTCAATCTGCCTTACCTTGTCATATTGGAAATTGTCTTGAAAGAAGTTATGTCATACCCTAAAATAGCTTCAAAAAATTGGCGTTATAATTATTTGGAAAATTTAAATGTAGACATTTGACGTTTAAATGATAGGAATTTTGAAGTTTGAAGGAAATTAAATATCAAATAGGTAACTTTATCACCGCAGCTGAAAAAGTTTATTAGTTGGAACAAATCTTCCCTTGATAGAACGACAGAACCGAATCCAGAATTGAATGAGGAATGTTTCGACTCCTTCAGTTTGAGTTCACTTTTCTTGTCATCATCCAAAGCGTAAATATCGTCAAGGAATACGCTGAATATTAAGATATTTCAGATATACCAAAGGTTATTTTTGTTTAACAAAGATAATTCACCAACTAAATGTCCTCATTAGCGACTTCAGACAGTTTGAAATTCCAAATTCCTCCCCATCTATAAGCAAATTTCGTGGGGTTTCTCTCAAAGTGGAAACATATGGCTGCTCATGAACTTCATGGTTGGGCAATTTTGTAATTTAAACGTTAATCTATAGGTAGAAATTATTTCACAACGTACTTTAGAAGTTGGTAGGAAAGTTTTTAGGAGTTTATTATTCTAGATAACGACGATGATTTATGACAGCTTCTCCTATACCATGAACCTCTTTCAAACTTTTTGTTACTGAATGTTGATGATAGTGTAAAGCTTTTCCTTGACAATATTTTCCTTATAAAGAATTTTCCCGTTCGTTATTTTGTTTTGTCGGGTTGGTTCTCTTCTTTGTAAAAATTGCTAATCTAGCTCTTAATTTCAAACATAAAACACGACGCAGCGATAATAATAGTAATTTAGTAATTATAATAATAGTAATAATAATGGTACTGGTCATTATAAGGACAAAAGCAATAACAGCGGTAATAATAATGGTATGAGAAAGAAGAAACAATCACTGATGAGAAATCTGGACTTTTTTGCTAATTCATTCTTATTACTTGTGAAAATTAAGATCATAGTATTGTTGCTTATAAGAGCTACCCAAAGGAAGCTTTTAGTGAAACTTATATATTGCTTTATATTAAATGTTCTTATTTGTTTAGAAATCAAGAGAAATTTTCCTTGAAACATTTTTGATAATTTATTCATAAAGAGTTCTATTGTAGGCAAATTCTCTACGGCGATTGCCCACACTAAATTCATACAGTTTCAAAATTCCCATTGCTCAGCTGCATTGTCCAAATGTTGCATAAAAACTGTTCTTATTTGTTAATTTTGCAACAAATAATGACTGAGCTGTATCAGTGCTGATTCATAGTGCGACACATAACAGAAAAAAAAAACGGGGAAAAATCTAAAACTAAAAAAACACCTGTCCGATAATCTACGCTATCTAATAAAAATCACTATGGTAAAACTCGTTCGATTAGAAAACGTTTCAATCTTTGCTATGAATAATCGTGTTCCAGTCGCACATTTTTTGCTGTACGTAGTCAGTGTGAAATGATCTTTGAAGTGTTATGAATTGTCTAACTTTTATTCATTTTGATAGAAATAGAAAGGAAAAAAAAAACGCAAAGAAAGCTAATGAAAACTACAAACGATTCTTTCTTTTACTTGTAACACGCTTAGTTACATTTAGCTGCAGTCACACTGTAGTGGGAATGGAACCTTCAGCCTCCTCTTTTCAGTTCAAAAATTACCATAGTTATGACCCACGATGTTAAAAATTCTCTCAGGAACAACTGTGTATAGGAGCTCGAAATGAGTATCAATATGACGCAAGTTGTGAAAAAAATTGTTTTGAACGTGATTATGCAAAATTCAAGAAGATTGTGAAGTTTTGATGGGTGATAAATTTGTTTTCTCAAAAGTTAGGTAATATTTTAAGCTGATCTTCTATCATGAAAGACATTTCTTTTTCTCCAAAATTAAATTGCAATAGACGGTAGCAGCGCTAAGAAGGTACTCATCTCTTTCACGTTAAGATCTTTTCCAAAGAAATTTGGCCATATTACACTATGAGAAGGAGGTAAAGAGAAAAAAGTTTGAAATAATACTTCTTAGCTTTCGTGGATATAATTTAGCATATTTTAAATTGATAGGCAATTTATGCACTACAAAAATATTGTCCATTCGCGGTTCTAAAAAATCATAGACATTTTTCCCATTAAAGCAGAATGGCCAAATATTTCCGGTCATTTACATTCAATTGAATAAAAAAGCGAGTGTCAATGAAAGGTCATCGTAATCAATTTTTTACTCCAGTGAAAAAATATTTATGTCCGATCAGCTGTTTGAGTATTGTTTTCTTCTTTTTCTCGCATTTTCAATCGTGTTTCATGCAGCTGAAACATGGGGCCAATCCCCTTCGGCCGTATCGAAAAAGTTGCGTAGAACACTCAGAACAATCGAGCGACGTCTTCTGGAAGTGTACTAACACACTCGACATCAAACTGGTTTTCGTAGTTCAATCCTTGACGAAAATGTTCAGTCGTAGAGACCCAGCAGAATAGCTTTCAAGAAACACACGTCGCTGGGCCGATGATACAATGTGAAGAGAGGTTAACAGATGGAGCGGAATGTAACGGCAGAGCGGATACCGAGGGAGTCGAAACGACCTCGATGGAGAGCTCCAGGATGATGGAGTCCGCTTTGTTCGTCCCGAGACGAGTCTGCCAGACCGACGACGGGATCGAACTTTTGTATGAGATCACGGAGGATCGAGGCGTAGCCGAAGCGAAGACGACCATCTTCATGGACGATGAAATGATTCGGGAACCCATTGGGACACCCACGACACCCATAGACTGGGCTATCTGAGAGATTAAGTAAACACCGAGAGGGTTCCATTAATAGAAAGGTGCGAATTGATCCCTCCTATTATCGAATGAGTGCGCATTCGTTGCGATGTTACCCCGCCCACTTCTCGAATAGCCACCCGTCCCACCATGTGCAATCCCAATCAATTTCGTCGTTACACGTCGTTGTCGGCACGTTTATAAGTGAATGACCGTGCATCCTTTGCGTAACACGAATTTGATCTTAATATCGATTTTTGTCGTCACGATTGATTACTTTTGTGATCTATTCGTTCTTTCGCCCGGCCTGGATTACTGTACTCTGCATAAAGTGGCTAAAAAGTAAACAGAAAAATTCAAACAAAATTTTTGACTCCAGATGATTTTATGCGGAAATTATCGCAAAAAAGGCCTTTTATTGAGTTCTCTGGTGGTGGACTCGATATCCAAGGATCCTGAGAAATATGGAAAACTTTGAGCCTCAGGCAGGCATTGAACCTGTGTTCCTTGTAAACCAGGGCGCTTGCTACCATTACATCACCGAGGCACCGCTGCACTACTACTTGATTTTTCTATAGTGCACCTGATATTTCTACTGGATGTGAACCATGTAGACACAAGAAATATTCTAGTGGATGTAAATATTTAGTGACTAAAAATGAAAAAGTATTCTTAAAGATAAATAAAATATAGAACAATATATAATTTCAATAAAAAACAAGATATTTCTACTGGATGTAAAACTATTTAGTCACTATAGGTTCTTTGCGTTTAATGAGAAGGATATTGCAATGACAAAGGTTATTGCTTTCCAAGTCAGCAAAATGCAAAGCTACTTGTCACCTTAATAATTATTTTATAAATAATTATGTTCTTAATAGTGTTTTCTTGTAGATTTGAGCTACTGGAATTGTACATCAGTCGTTTTTTCTGAACGATTTTTTTTTATTCGAGGCACTTTTCTGGTGGGTGATTTGACCTGTAAATAAAAAATTAAAAAAAAAATCACTTGATCGACTAAATTTGAGAAAAATATGTGTTTTTGAAATTTGTGTTGGTCGATCGATTTCGAATATTCACTTCAATCAATTGATTGCTCATTATTTATTATTCAACCTTTTTTTATCAATATATAAAGCGTTCCATTGTTGAGAGTATGAATGAAACACATGTGAAATTCGGGAAATTGATGAATTCTCTTTTTCAGCTCTCAAACACTGTAATTCGAATTATTTCAAAATTTCAAAGAAAAAGTATCAATACTGGTAAAAGTCAGGAAAGAACTTTGAAGAAAAAAAAATCGTCTTGACGTCAAAAGCATTCATCCTCTCGTCACGCAATTTATTCAAATCATTTTTTTTCTTGTCTTTGTTGACGAACAAGATTACGTGGTTATCAGTTTTTTTCCTTTCGAAACACTTTATGAAGTGAAAGTTGTGAGAAAAAAAGTGTTTTACCTCAGTTTTCTAGCAATTTACGGCTTACATGATAACGGCTTTGATCTTCCATATACATGAAACCATGCCTTCCGTGTTCCTACCCAATTCATTTATAAATAAAAAGCTGAGAGAAATCTATTTCCTATATTTTCACTTACATATCGGCCACCAACTTTCCAGCTGTCGCTTGGTGGTTATGACGAGTGATGAAGCATCAGGTTTTCCACTGAGTTGGCGGATGAGGCCAACAATTACTGCTTGCGTTTAAGTTGGCATCTTAATGTATCTCACCTTCATTGCTGCACGATTCTGCTGTTCATCTGTTGGATTCTCATCTATAAAAAGTTTGACTACATGGATTCTCTATTGTTCTATTATTGGTAACCGTCTAGTCTTTGTTGTTGTTGGAAAAAACCATGAAGAAGTTGGGGTATTAGCATAGAAAGTATAAGCTATTTAGGGATCAGGGTAGCTAGCTTGTGGGGGTGTATGGCTCTAACGAGGCGAGCAAATTGACAAAACGTACGTAAGCCATAGGCGTAACAAACCTCGAGAACGGCTAAAGTAAGCCAGCCGCCTCTCTGAACATGTCATAGAACGTGTCTCTTATATGCCAAATGATTTCGCTCTATTTCTAATCACAGCCATCAAGGTGAGACTGGATAGCTTTTCCTTCTTTTTCCTTGGAGAGAAAAAATTTAACTGTACTAAGTATTCATCACGCTCGGAATTGCTAAACCACTAATTGATCCTTTGTTCTTGGAGAGGTCAGAAATTCCCTAAAAAATCTGAATGCTCTAGCCGTTCGCCCGAAATTACATCGAAATGTCGACGACAGTCGTTGTAGCTCATTTATGAACGTCTTTGAAATAAATGTCAAATATATCTCATGTTCTCTGCCCCTTTCGCTCAGACACCAAACGGCAAGGCACGAAGCCATAAAAAAAATCACATTTTAGAGCCACAATTTTCTTTTTTCAGATACGAATTTCATATTAAGTTATGGTTCAGGGTTCATATTACTATATAAGATTTAGGCTTAATGTATATGAGCCGTTCCTTCTCTCACAAAAGCAGTAGTTAAATATGATCGTATCCACCTAGTGAGTCGCAGTGTTTAGGACCTGACACCGGAATTCCGTTCTGTTTTGTTTTATTTCGATTTTTTTCTTTGTTTTGTTTGCTCACTGTTATCTTTAATCAGATATCGCAGAGGTGAAACGCGCATTTCAATGAATGTTTTTGGTGTAATAAAGAAAATGATAAATTACGAGTTGAGATGAAAGGGAGGGAACGAGCCAGACGGAGAGAGAGAGAGAGAGAGAGAGAGAGAGAGAGAGAGATAGGGAGAGGGGGAGAATAAAGAGAAGACGAGAAAAAGGTAGAGTCATGAAATGAAGCTGAATTAAAAACACTGACTCCTATGAACCTTTCTCGCTTTGATTGGAAATCACGAATAAAGATGAGCAGGAACGATTTGAAGGAAAGAGAGGAACAGAGAATGAGAGAGAGAGAAGAGAGAGAGAGAGAGAGAACAGCTGAGAGCTCCAATGAGAGAGAGGACGAGTAGGAATGATAGAATGGAAATAGGAAAGTAGCAGAGAAAGAGAGAGGAACATCTGAGAGCCAGACTTCAACAGAAGACGAGCAGGAAAGATAAAAAGGAGAGCGGAGAGGAACAGCGAAAAAGAGAGCGAACGGCTGACAGCTACAATTCGAGGGAAGATGAGTGTGTATTATGAGGAAAGAGGAGAGAACAGAGAAAGAGAGAGCGAACATCTGAGAGCCAGAATCGGAGAGAAGACGACTAGGAACGATGTAAAGGAAAGCAGAGAGGAACAGAGAGAGCGAACAGCTGAGAGCCTGGGAATTCGCCTTACCATTATCGGGAATGGCGCCCAGGAGTGGTGAGAGAGACGCAGAGTGTTTGGCATCGCGCCCGTAATCCACCATCGTCTGACCGCCTTCCACCACTGGGCACCCTCATCGTCGCACGAACTCTTCTCAAATCAACTCTGTTTCTCTAATTATTACACTTGAAAGGTTTCTATGACTTAGCTAATACCACGAGGTTGCTATAAAGATTTTATTCTGACCAACGTTTCGACGCCTTTCGTCCTCTTCACAGCCGATGATTCGAGTCGATTGTCCAGAGTCGTACGTCCTTGTTGTGGATCTTCCTCTCGCATCTTCTTCGGCGAACAGCGATTACTGACATGACTGCCCGCTAATAATATTTTCTTTTTCAAGAAAAAATAAGTTGAAAACAATTCTTCCATTCTAAATTCATTTATTTGGCCACCTCTTGCGGTGATATGGCCCTATAATATATTCAATAATGTGGAGTACTATGCAAAAACATTTGCGTCAGCCGGGATTCGAACCCAGATCTCACTCTTTCCTGGAGCGTGTGCTGAATCGGTCTGCTAAGGGCTCTTGTATAGCCCGATACACGTGTTTCGTCCTTACAGACTCGTCAGTCAGCTTTTAATCTTTGTATTAGTCAGTTCTCTCGAGAGCCTGCTCTCCGTACAGGGTGATATCGAAGACAAATGTTTTACACTCTATGTCAAGTGAAATTTTCACCTAACACGGAGTGTTGTACATTCGATTGCTCTTTGGCTGGTATTTTTATCATATACTTTTCTTTTAAGCGTTTTATTAAGACCACTGTATTGGGCTGTACAAGAGCCCTTACCGGACCACATGACATGTTGGCTCAAACAATAATGAAAGGATCTATTGAAATTTGAGCGTGGTCTTAATAGAACACTCGAAATAAATATATTAGAACAATTCATCAACAAAACAACAATTCGCTTCCAGCCCTATTCATCGGCTGAAAAAAGTGTTAACAAAATAGTGTGCTAACACCAAAATTAACATCTCCGCACCCTGCTATAAACTAGTGTTTACTGCGGGGCGTGGGCGACTGATGAAGCGGGTGACACCGCCGAAACGTACGTATAGCTCTAACGCAACAACCTCCGTTAGGCTTTAACCCCTAAGGGACGACGTGTACCACCTGAGGTACACGATTGTTTAAAGGCCTTCTCACTGGACCAGAGTTTTCAATGAGAGACTTGTGATCTTTCGAAAGCTTAAATCTCTGCGATTTCAACATTATCTTTGACTTTTAAAACAGCCTTTTTATTTCCATGTGGTAGCGAAATAAAATTTGTTTCAACTTTATTTTGCTTATTTGCTTGGCTGAGGTTTCTATATGGCAAACTATTTGCCAAACTCTCACTAGTCATTCAGTAGCCCAAATTCGGAAAATTTCGATGCTGCAATTGGTTTTTCCAAAGGTTATCATAGAATTCTGCAAGAGCGAAAAGAATTCGAAGTTTTTATCGTACAGAAAAGTCACATACGCACGAAAAACATAAGATCATTTAGAGAAAGTCATCGAGTATCAGAGTACCATGAAATAAACCTGGGGTTTTACTTTTTTGAATGGAGGTAAAATTCTCTTTAAATAGCGTGCTCGTGTTGAGCGATCTGTAAACTGCCGTCCCTAAAAGGTTAAACATTCTCACAGACTATAAAAAACATCAATGGGCAATCAGTATCATCAGCAACCGTCGCGTATCTAAGGTCAACTCCAAATGAAATTCTACATTCAAGCGGTGCTCCACCGTAGGAGATTCGACCTGAACGATTCGAGGACGAACATCCACAACGAAGACGAACGGTTGTGAACAATCAGCTCGAACCATTCACTCTGAAGAGGGCGAAGACGTCGGAACCTTGACCGAATAAACATCTGCAATATCAACCCTCGCGGTATTAGCTAATATCTTCAAAAAAAAAAAAAACTTTTCAGTGGTAATACCGAGGTTTAAGGAAGGCAAATTTCGATTTATTGCTGCAGCAGCGTTTTTTATTCTTGATCGTTTGATCATACTGTTTTTATGGATGTTCAGCAGTAATATTAATTTGTTAACTAAGTATGGAAGATAGGTGATTAGTGATCAATGTGTGGATTTTTCAAAATACGACTTTTTGGTCTCTTTTCATAGTGTGTAGGCTCCATTTCAGAGCGTCATCAATAAAAGTTGACATTGTTTTTCGTTTCTCTATCTGCCAGCACTATCCATTACTTTTT